CAAATGACCTCCTTCTTTGAATTCTGGAGCAGTCCTCTTTCTAAGACAAGCATCCAGAGGAGTATATCAACTGAAGCAAGTATCTGATTAAGCCCAGCCTGCAATTTAGACAGCCTTTCATGGCTGAAACAGATATTTCTACAGGAAATCCTTCAATGCTGGAGCAGGCCTCTAAGTCCCCAGCAATGCTGTAACTAAGCATTTCAGGGCTGGGAGTAAGCAAGCATATTTGCGCTCCCTACTGTTGGGTTTTTTCATTTTTCCAGCCTCACAGCTTCATGCCCTGGGCAGCTGCCCTGCTATGGTTACGGCCTTGATTCCCAGTCTTGAGTGGCTCTTTCAAAGCTAAAGCAAACTATATAGCCTGTTACCATGGACTCCCACTATTTAATTTGTTTTAAAGCACAATGGTCTCTGTCAGGATGAGTGTGTTATAAATGTGAGTACTTATCATTATTGCTGTTATGTAAATCTCCAAGAATTGAACTAGGAATCCAACCAGAATCTATTGTTTATTAGCTTCACTATTTTATCCAATTATTGATGGACCAGTTAATCTTCAGCCCTACTTCAGGATTGAAAAGGCCTCAGTTGTATTCAGTAGCTCCAAGAGTTGTTCATCTTCTAGTACATGCCATGTATTATCAGGAACAGTATGTGATAATATTAATAGTAATTCAAATGATCTTAGAAAAATTAAGTGGGGCATAGACCTTGTACTTTACTCAGTGAAATGTGCAATTCAACTAGTAAAAGTATGCAAAATCTCTTCCACATGATGAATATTTAGCTAGTGAATGGTTGTGAGATGACTTGTGTCATGCAGGGGTGATTTGTTTACTTTTCCTGGTTGCTGTCATTAGAGAGGATTTTACACACCTACTCCTATATAACGTATACCAACTTTTCTCTGATAAAGCAGAACAATTACTTTTCTGATTGACACGATTAGGCTACTTCAATAGGTAGACAACTCAAATATTTTCAGGATTTATGTTCCTTTTCTTGGGCAAAATGACTTTACTCACAGAAAGCTGTAATAAGAGAAATGTATTACTAAATACAAATTACTTATTCCTTATCAAAGGTAGTGGTATGTAACACAAGATCTTCGAAACTAGTGTATTTGACATGAGCACAGGACTTAAATCATCCCCTACTTCACAAGACACTTACAGAATGGGAAATGTTACATTTAATGATTCATTAGACTGAAGAGGCACAAAACCTGATGCATTGCTATCCACTTAAGAAATGAGCTAATGGCCACAGATTTATACGAGTAAACTATTTGTGTTATTAAACGTGTGTCCAGAGCCTTGGATGGATGTCCTATTGTGTGGAGTCTTTAAGATCAAAATCTAATTATATGGAAGGGTGAAGGTGAAGGCCTTCTAACTTTGAAAACCCTGAAGCTAAGGGAGCAAAGTCTTGATCCAAACCCATGGTTCTCAGATCATCCTCACGTATGACAATCCCTCTGCATGCCCTGGTCTGTGATCTTTCACTTGGCAACATACCCTTGACCGACTTCTGAGTGCGATAAAAATGAATGGTTCAAAAGTTAATGCTGTTCACCAGAAACCCAGGGTCAAGTTCAGACAGAATCAGATATCACAATGCTGGGCATGGTATCAGAGTCTTAATATTTAGATAGAGCTTCTGCTCCAACCTCCAGCCAGCCACTCCCCCTGAAATCCTGTGGAACCCCAAAAGCTATGGCTATTTGGAGGAGGTAGTGGTGGATTAGAGACAGTAAGTAGCTCTGTACCCTTTCTTCTAAAATTTTCAGATCCTTTCCATACCTTGAAGTGGAGAGGAGGGCTACAATATTTATCTTGATCTATCACATCAGAAAAAGAAAACAGAAGATTAGAGCAGTGGTTCTCAGTCTTTCCAGACTACTATACCCTTTTCAGGAGTCTGATTTATCTTGCATACTCCAAGTTTCACCTCACTTAAAAACTACTTGCTTACAAAATCAGACATAACAATACAAAACGGTCATAGCCCACTATTACTGAAAAATTCCTTACTTCCTCATTTTGTCTATATGAAATTTTAGTTTCTACTACTTTGCTAGTGCTTTTATGTAGCCTGTAGTAAAACTAGGCAAATATCTAGATGAGTAGATTTACCCCCTGGAAGATCTCTGCATACCCCTACGGGTACTCATATCCCTGGTTCAGAACCACTGAATTAGAGCAAGAAAGTTCTGTAAAAAATAACAAAGACCAAGAGCCACTTACTTGTTCTCTATGTATATAAACCTCCCCACTGTATTTTCCACTGAATGCATCCGATGAAGTGAGCTGTAGCTCACGAAAGCTTGTGCTCAAGTAAATTTGTTGGCCTCTAAGGTGCCACAAGTACTCCTTTTCTTTTTGTGAATACAGACTAACACGGCTGCTACTCTGAAACCTGTCACTACAGTGGTTTATGCACAGATGACCCAGACCTTTCAGGTGGGATTGTACTCAGATGGTGAGCCTGAGTGGTCACCCATGCTATAACTGTCACACTGCTACTTTTAGGCATTAGCTCAAGCAAAGCTAGTGTGTATACATCTGCCCAAACTGAGAATTACACCTCCCAGGTGTTGTGTAGATACACAGCGATTAAAGAATCTTCCCCTTTTTTCAATTCCCACCTTATTAATTAAAACAATGCCTTGAGACTTATCAATATTTAGAGTGACTGCTCTGATCAAACAAACAGGATACAGGGATTTAGGCCCCCCCAGTCATGAATGTGCTTAATTCTCATTGACTAAATTGAATGCAAGTATGTGCTTGAGTGCATTCCCGAATAAATATGCTTTCCTGAAATGGAATTAAGTATTGTGCTGAACAGAGATTGATATAAGCACATGCTTAAGTACTGTGCTGAATTAGGACTGGCTTGAAAAGGCAGGTCGCATGAAAAATCCAAATTCTTCCATCCTGATTTACATATTTTAGAAAGTCCATGGCTAATTTAGTAACCCTAGTGCAAAGTATTTTCCTTTAGCAATTAAACTTAATGAGCTATTGATACCAAATGGAAATATTTTTAAAAAAACAAACAAACCATTATTTATAAACCATTCTGCCTATAAAATAGGTCAGTGGTTTTCTGTGTTTTCTTCTTTAGTTTTTATTACCAAAGACATTTGCAAGAAAACAGTATTTGATTCTTAGAAGTTCATCTGTTCTTACTGATTATTCTTCCCCGGAAGTCACAGAACCCCTTTTTCCCATAGATAAAACTTCTGGTGGAGAAAAGGGTACTTAAAAATACAAGTAACATCCTTCCATGGTTTCAGTTACATTGAATTGCAGCCTCATGGAAAGGGAACTGCTGCTTAGGTGAAAGAACCATAAGAAACTGAGACCCTATCCCATAGACCCTCAACTTTACCAGCTCTTGTGCTGTGTTGCTATTGATCCCTTAACTCTGGGGTTCTTAAACTGGGAGTCGGGACCTGTCAGCCTCCACCCCAAACCCTGCTTTGCCTCCAGCATTTATAAGGATGGTGTTAAATATATAAGAAAGTGTTTTTAATTTATAAGGGGGGGGGGGTCGCATTCAGAGGCTTGCTATGTGAAAGGGGTCACCAGTACAAAAGTTTGAGAACCACTGCCTTAACTGCACTTTAGCTCTGGTATTCCCTTTTCAGGGAGTAGTGTTGTGATGGGGAATTTAATGCTGGTCTGAGTAACATTAACATCTGTAACAATTGGAATGGATTTTCCACTTTTTAAGGGGCATTCCTCTAATGGCTGCTTCTCTTTGGTTGTCAACAGTCTTCAATACTCATGGATCCCACAGAGTGCTCTATTCTATTGAGAGTGGAAAGTCACTGTATCTCATGTATGGTGGAGACGTGCACAATTAGAAGACTGGAAGGTGGACAGCAACATCTTGCTACCCACTATGTTCAGTCATCTAACTACTACATCATTCTAAAAAGAAAAGGAGTACTTGTGGCACCTTACAGACTAACAAATTTATTTGAGCATAAGCTTTTATGAGCTACAGCTCACTTCATCGGATGCATACAGACTAACACGGCTGCTACTCTGAAACCTACATCATTCTAGATATTGACTTGTAAAACATTTAAAAACAAAAAACAAAACTGCCTCTCACACAGTCCTACCATGGGGTGGCAGTGTAGAGGAAGGCCCAGTATAACGTTAGTCCCACAATCCCTTTTTTACAGTGTGGTAAGTATTTTCACAGCTACTAATAGTGATGTCAACAAACAAAGGACTAGGCTGTGACTTTAGGGGAAGAAAAAACAGCAGGAGCAGATGAACTCTTAAGAAACTAACATACTAGTTGAATGCAAATAGTCATTAAAAAGCAAAGTGAAAAATATGAAGTTTGCACTTCATACAAGCACAATTGCCTCTAAATAGAATGGACCAATTTAATCCATAGAGTAACTTCATTTAAACCAGTGGAGTTATATTGGGCTAAACTAATCCCCAATGTATTTCAAAGTTTTCTGTGAGGCGGCAGCAAGTCTTAATAAAGCGTTGCACTGAATCTCCAATACATTATTTTGGTAAAGCCTGCTTGAAAGAAACTCTCAATTTTATGAAGTATGAGAATACAAGAATCAGTGATCTAATCTCTTTGCCTAGCCTTCTTGTCATTTTTTGATGTTGAGAAATTCTCAAGCATAAACCAGCATCCTCTTTCAGTGAAGAGTTCAGGTTGTCAAGAAAATGCTCACAAATTTAAAGATATTCCACTTAAAAAAAAAACTAACATGAGTGTTTCTAATTTTTGGTTTCTGATTAGATCACTAACCACACAGAGGGTTCATCTCAGAATGGAGTGATTGTTTTATTAAAAAATACTTTGGGGCTATCTGCTATTTCAGTCAATTAAATTGACTTCGACAGAGTCTTAAGACTCAGTGCCTTTCATCAAATAATTGTCTTTCTTGACATGGGCTCATATAAAACCGATTTTTCCCTTACTAATTCTGTTCTTTTTTATCTTCACAGGTACACTATCTATTGCACAATTGATTATTTACTTTTCTACTATACATTTTCAGTTTTCCTTAGAAAGTCTTGAAGTGTGCTAAAAGGACAAACATATGTATTTCTGCTATAATTTAAATAATAATTACTTTCACACAATATTTTATATTTCCTTCATATGAAAGAAATCCACATCCTTCATTTGTTGAATTTGCCATTTGGCAAGATGGCTACGGTGGCTGAATGCAGATCGATAAAAATAACTTCTCAGAAAAAAAGCTTTATAGTAAAATCTTGAGTGGTTTGTGTATGGATTTCAAATATGAGCCTTTAAACACAGAAAATAACTGCTGATGTCTTGACATGATAATATACACTTTTTGTCTTAATCAAAAAACAGAATCCTTGACCAGAATTTATTACATAGGAACAGGTATTTTATAACATGGATTAGGAGGAGTCCTTTGCTACAGTCTGATTATACTGATATGCCTAGTGCTACAATGTCATATTGTCTAGATGTGTATTCTTTTACAATCTTTAGTTTTGGTACCAGTACACACATCTGAGGGGGAAAAATAAACTCTAGACATTCCCATACTATATTTGGGCCACATGGTTCACTCTACAAGAAGCAAAATGCTGACAAGAGTTAATAAATGCTATGAGTCAGATACTTAACTGGTGTAAAGCCATGTAGCTCTAATGAACTAGCTTAGGCTGTAGCCCTATCACTTGGCTTATAGTACAGGAAATTTAAAGGTAAATTCTGCCAACAGACATGTCAGTGGAGCAAGATTTTATTTATTTATTGTGCAACATACTCTAATATTATTTGAAAGACCCATGTGCCCTCACTTGTGGCTATTACTCATGCAAGTAATCCTACTGTCTTCAGTAGGACTAAAGATAAAAGATATTGGGACACCCACCTTCTATCAGACAACTTCCATTGGTAAGACAGACAAGCTTTCAAGCTTATACAGAGCTCTTCTTCGGGTCTAGGAAATGTACTCAGAGTGGACTAGTTCTTTAAGTGTTATAGGATTGGGTTATTTTTTATTTAAGCTACTAAAAAAATACACCAAACACCAGAGAGAAAATATCGGTCCTGAAAGCCAAACGCGTAAATTAAAAATGTTACATTTATTTAAAAGACACAGGGGATGAAGTTCATGCCCAGTGTTACTCCGCTGAAGTAAATGAAGTAACACCAGTGTAAATGACAGGAAAATCAGGCCCAAAAGTTTCACTTGATGCAATCAACATTACAAAAATGGTTCAAAGATAGTTGAGTATAACTTACATAAATTACATGATGAATGGAAAACTTGGTGTCTATAAATAGACAGAGAGTACCAATATAATTCCATGTAGAGCTTCTAATGGCTTTGTACTCCAGACAGAGTGGTGGTTTATCATCAGGATCTCAAAAGAGAATTGTTACCTTTGATTATGTTTTGATTCTTTTTGTTCAAGATATGGCTTTCCTCTGTACTCTGCTACTGCTCTTCTCTCTTTAGCCTTCTCAGATGGTGGCTACAGCTCTTTAGACATCCTTTCCCTTTCATTTTTTTAAACAAGCAAGTTAATTTTGTGTAAAAACTGATTCTTGAAAATATTTTATTAACAGTTTATTGATTCATTACTGTCAAATGTTCTATTACAGTAAAATATGTATATTTATACATAAAATGTTAAAGTGTATTATTCTACACAAATAAGCAATTAACTCTTGCAATGTTAACTTCACATCTTTTTATTCACCATAACTAAACCAAAATAAGGAACAGTATTAAGAATGGTTTACTTTAAAGAAATAATGTATATTTTTGTGTTTATATGCTTGTTTCTAAAGTATGATGAATAAGTGGTAAGTTTAATAGTTATTTATAAATTCTTTAACTATTCAAGAGAAGAATGGCTCCACTTTTCCTTTGAAGAAGCTCTTGGTACTGTGTGGGTAATATTTAAAAGGAGCTAAAAAGGTAGGAGTGCTATGGATCATCCAAAAGACAAATAAGTGGAATGGACTGATAATAAACATTGACATCATCTTTATAATAATATGTATACTTACAGTAACTTAACTAATACTTCCTCAACACTGCTATATTCCCTTATTTGATATGTCACCCTTTCTTGGTTTTAATATAACAAACAACATAGTAGCAATTATTATGTTTATATTTATTAAAACGTAGCTAAAAAGGAACAAAAATATGCAAAATACTTCTAACAAATCTAACAATATTCCTAAAAGTTCACTTTTCCGAACTGTTGAAGTAGTTTATTCTTTCTTTTTAAAAAGACTCTTATCTCTGCTATCCTAAGCAAACTAATTTAATGAGCAAGGCATACAAGGTCAGGAGCCAGAACAAGTGGGTGTGTAAAAGAGTTGCAGTAGCTACAGTGGGGAAAACGCTCCCAGCAGCAGCACTGATGAACCATCCAGAAGTGTACACCGCCCCCATGTCTTATATAACGCACGCAACAACAGGTCTGAGAAGAGCAGTAACCTTTCTAAAGAGTGGTTTCAGAGGAACAGCCGGGTTAGTCTGTATTCGCAAAAAGAAAAGGAGTACTTGTGGCACCTTAGAGACTAACCAATTTATTTGAGCATGAGCTTTCGTGAGTGCTGCGTGCCTATGCTTTTCCTAGTGTGTTGAATAAAGAGCTGGTATTGACAATGTGGGGATAGGTGGGAGGCTGGAGAGAAAAAGTAAGCAGAGATCGTTAAAGAGCCAGCGCACAACAGCCAACCATGTCCTTGGACAGTCTTAAAACCCGGGTTTTTCAGACGTCAAGAGTACGAAGAAATTATGCGATTCCCGCCCAACCTTGATGTTTGTTAACACGGTGCGTTATTCACAGCAATTCACGCAGTTCTAAGCCGTAGTCATAATATTGACCTGACCTCATCACTTGCACTTCAAAAGGGAACATAACACGATTCTTCTTCACAGCCCTCCTTAAAACTCACCACTGGCGATGCCTCAGGAGACACTTGACAGCTGCTTTATTTTCCTGCACGGGCTGGTCTCTCGCCTCCCACCTGCGTGTGTTGTATTCAGCTGGTGAAAACACCTTTTGTCATCTGCTGAGGCTGTGAACCCTCTGAGGCAGTGGGTGCCTAAAGAGCGCAGCACATGGCGCAAGGGGCCTTGATCCCCGATTGGCTCCCCCAGTAGAGAGAAATCAGGGAAAGAAGAGCAGCCCGCCAGCGGGGGCTGCTTCCATTAGCTTTGCTTAAATAAAGTTCACGGGTTACGTCTTTGCGCTGGGCCGCCGGTGAGGCGTGAGGGTTTGGGGCGAGAAGCCACAGGGGCTGCTCAGAGGGGGAAGGGAAACCACTAACCCCGCAACAGCCATTGAGTAGCGAGGCGAGCGGGCAGAGCAGCCGCCAGAGGGCCGCTGAGTAGGAAGCGCTGTCAGGGGGCTGAGGGGGGCTGGCCGGTCAGAACTGGCCGTTTGCGGAGGGGCGGGGGAGTGGTGGCAGTTTAAACAGGCGGAGGGGGCAGGTAGAGGGGAGGGGTGGCCAATGGCAGGTGGCCTTTGATAACGCTGAGGAGGGAGGGGGCAGATTTCCCGCAGCAAGTAGCTGTTTAGAAGGCGGTAAGCAGGAGGTGAGACCTGGTCCTTTGACATACGGGGGAGGAGAGACAGGGTGGGTGCAGCCGGTGAGGCGTTGTCACAGGGGCGTCTAGACCCCAGGGGTAGGTAGGTAGGTGACCGGTGCCGGGGAGCAGCGCAGGGGCGGCCGACACGTGTCTGTTCAGGGGACAGAGCCGTTTAGCCCGCCGGGGGAGCGGGCAGGGGCCGTCAGGACGCTGCAGGAGGCGGCTAGTAGAGGCGAGGTTAAGGGGCGCTGCCCACTCCAGCCGTCCTGGTCTGTCCCTCGGGCCCTTGAGGGGTCAGCGCTGCCCCCGCCGCCTCCGAGACCGGCTCGCACCGCACCCCAGCACACGCACCGTTCCGGGCTGTGCCACGGGGCGGGGGCGGGCAGCGGCGCTCGGGCGGGGAAACGTCGCCGCTGCTCCCCTTGCGGGGGGCTGGGCGCAGAGCGCGGGGGCGGCCGTTGCGGAGGCAGCTGGGGCAGGAGGAGGCAAGTGGCAAAGCAGCAGCAGCGTGAGGCGTCTCCAGAGCTGGGGCTCTCTGCTGCCGCTGCCGCGCTGAATTCCTGTGCACAGAGCTCGGCTCATCCTCCGCCGGGCTCCCGGGGGCGGGAGACGCGCCTGTCCCGCAGGTAAGAGCCGTGTGGATGTGCCGCTTCCTCTCTAGCGCCAATCTCTCCTCTCCTCTCACTGACCCGCCCGCCCGCGCCGGGCGTTGTCGCTCTGCGGGATTGCGGGAGCTAGGGGTTGCCTCTGTCTGTGCATTTGTCCTGCTGGGGCCATTCCCCTTTTCCAGCGTATTTGCAACTCTCTCCCTTTCTCGTCAGTGTCTATTCTCTGCCGGTGGCGCAGGAACTAAATGGCATAAAGTTAGTGCACTGCCGCTCAGTTAGCGCCCAGCAGCGTGGGGAAAGTGGCTAGGATAAAGCATGAGATTTTAAACAGCTCAGACTCCGAAAGGCCGCCCCCCACCGTAAGACAGCTGTTGAAGAAAGCTCCCGATTACTTAGCTGGCCCTTGATCTGGTCTCCAAATTCATTGTGTTGTTCTAAACCCAAAATGCGGAGCCCTAAGGAATTTCCTCAATATTTGTAAATCTTGATGGAGCCTACCCTTCCGCTCAAAGCCACTTAATTTGCTGTCCGTACTCGAACAGTGTTCCCTCTCTGGGAGCGTCTTTCTCCCCACTATCGCTTCGCTGACTTTACCAAGAGCGCTGCAGGAGATAGATAGGATAGTTTATTACTCTTGTTTATTAAAAAAAAATAGGATTTGTTCCCACGTTAATTACATTCTGGGATCCAGTGGCGAGATGAAGCTAATGCGGGGGTGAAATAAATGAGATGGTTTCTCACACGTTTCAGCTGGGTTTGCTGGAGAAACTCACCTGTACATTTTTCTTTCAGTAGCAAGATAGAGGTCTGTGCTCTTCAGCTGAAAGGATATTTGTGGGATTTATTCAAAATAGGTCAGTTTGCAATACAACCAGGACGTCCACACTCGTTGTTTCTCAGGCGTTCTGTTGACTTAAGTGATGAAGAATGGAAATGCTATTTAAGAGCCCAAACATTTTCTATTGTAGCCTGCAGGCTCTTATCGAAAAAAGCATGATACATTAGTCCAAATAGCTCCGTCGCTAGAGAACCTGCAGGTGCATTAACTTTATTTCTTCCAGCATCAGGTAAAAGGGAAAAATCATGAATTACAACACTGGAAAGAAGAAAAACTATTATTACAGTCAAAAATAAGAGATGTGCTCAGCTCTTAATGTAGCTCATTTTGGGGTTACAGTCAGTTTTATTTCATGTTTCAAAATGTTGTTAGGTATGGTATGTTTACAGTAAGCGTGGTCACAAGCCTGAAGAACAGTTCCAGTTAGACTGTACTGATTTTTTCCTTGCCTTGTTAGCTCTTCTTGCAGCTGCCTGTGTTTAAAGGTTACTGGGATTAAAGAATCCAGCATGCTTTGGGATGTTTTTGTTGGAACAAGATTCTGTGAGGCACTTCAAAGATTAAGAGCAAATCCAAGTCAGGGGCTTTTCAGTGAGGAGGCAAGAAATTTTTAATGGAAGGGTTTAAAATATGTGTGTGCTAGGCTTTCTTTATACTTTTAGGCATATTCTCTGTGGACTTTTAAAGAGAAGTTGAATTTTCTTTTGGGGAGGGAGATCTGGCAAAACAGGAATAAATTGGCTAGGTCAGACTAGGATGCCATGCTACAAGCACAAGCCACAGCAAGCATAATGTACTGCAGAACCCCAGACCACCTTCTCTGACCAGTACAGATTTTCTCTCTTGCTCACTGCTCCACTCCACACCCCACCACCAGTTGCGAAACAGGGAATTCATTAGTTATATAAAACCAATTCCAGAAAACTCAAGTTGTGACTCGGATTATATACAGGAAACATAGACTGTGATGGAGGAGATTGTGTTTAATAAGGTGGCTGGAGCACTCCAAGCTTTCTTAAAGACAAGAAATCTTTAGGCCTGGTTTACACTACAGAGTTAGGTTGAACAAAGCAGCTCTCATCAACCTATCTCTGGAAGTGTCTATACTACAATGGTGCTCCTGCCTATGTAAATTGCCTACTACATCAACTTTGGCTGTGGCTACACTAGACACTCTCTAAGCTGATGGGAGAGAGATCTCCCATCAACTTAATTACTCTAGCCCCCACGAACTGCAGTAGCTATGTCAATTGAGAAGTTTAAGTCGGTGTAATTTACGTTGCTCAGGAGGTGGCTTATTCAGACCTCTGAGCAACATAACTTATATTGACACAACTGGTAGTGTGTACATAGCCTTAATAACTCCATCTCCATGAGAGGCATAGTGCTTAAGTCAATGTAGTTAGAGTGACACGGTATTTGTGTAGACGCTGTGTTACTTACTTTGCCTGTTGGCTGTCAGCCCCACGGGACTGTTGTTGCTGTTGATACACTGGCAAATTTTGAGATGCCTCCTCAGAATGATAGGATCTATAGTACACAAAGCTTCAATGAACAAGATTTAGGAATATTTTATTGTTATGGGATATGTAATTCTTGTTTAACATATCAATCTATGATGAATTACAGTATCATGAATTGGGTTTCTGTTGGAATTGTGGTCTTTTGGTACAAACAAACATATTTATACATCTATCCTTGAGCACAGGGCTCCTGATGGTGTAAAGTGTACCTAAGAGGGAACTGATAATTAACCAGTGCAGGCTCAAAAGGGGGTAACAATGGCTGGGGAAGGGTGTGCCCAGTGCAGCCAGGGGATGTATATTCCCATAGAACCTCTGTCAGTGCGGATCCTCTGCCAGTTTCACTTTAAAGCTTCCTGCCCTGGTGGAACATTTTGGGTGGGTACCACCTGGTGGAAGATGCTTATGTTCCCCCTAGGAGGAAGGCCTCTCCAAAGCACGAGTGAATCAAGATCAATTCCATATTATATAGTTCATAGTATATCACTGAAGCATTTTCTTTTCATTACATTTTGCTTGACTTTTGACGTTCCAAGTGCTCATCACTTCTCAGGCCTTTTATTTCCCTTTTGTACCCCCCAAGTGGAAAAATATAGTTTTCTATCAATCAAATCCTGCTTCTTTTATTCATGTGAGTAGTCAAAATGACCTGTAATGAGGCAACATGCCCGAGTGGATAGGTGACTGGACTGCAAGTCAGGAGCCCTGGGTGCTGTTCCTGGCTCAGGCAACTGACCTGTTATGTGACTTTCACCAGGGTGCTTTGCCTCTCTGTGCCTCAGTTTGATGCTTTAGTAGAGTGCTTTGATATCTACAGATAAGTGCTACACATTTACACACATGAGTGAGGCAAGCAGTTCAGGCCCTATGATTTATATTGTAGATATGAGATAAATGTTAAAGCATCTGTATTTAGATTCACACATATTATTGGTGCCAAAGAAATAGAAAATAACTTGTTAATCCAAAAAAGTTAAAATTCTAACATCTGTTACCTAAAATATATTACTATTAAATCTGTTTTTGGAAACCTAAACATAAATTTTTATTGGATGCTATTTAATTTAAGAATAGACCAGGTGGGTGTGGATGCATTCTCTATCAAAAATACACCTTTCATAACAATGAAAAATAGAAAATACCGCATCATACAATAACATACTTTTATCAACTGGAGCAATAGACAACTACAGTACTCTGGAATATTCCCCTCCCCCGCCCCTAGTTTTTTGCCAGTGATCACACAGAGGAGAGGGAATTTACCCCTTCGCAGAGGGCCAGCACAAGGTCTATGTACCACTTAAGTCCTCAAAATAGGGCTTCTGTGGGATAAAAGTGGTGAATGAACCTTGTCCTGGCCCTCTGTGCCGAAGTGAATGTCATTCCAAGGTGAACACTTGGTTTCTTGCTCTCCCGCACCCCTGAAGAACATTGGAGGACAGCTCTGTTTTCAAAAAACACAACCATATATGACTACATTCATTGTTTTGTAACAAAGTCAGTGATAGTATGTAATGCTAAGGAGGCAACACAGCGTGAGCCTGGATTAATACAAATATTTTAAACCATCTAACTGAACGATCTCATTGCATATGGTGATACTGGATTTTGCCACTTACTAAAACCAGATAACTTACATCTATACAGCATGTTAAAGTAGAATGAATTCAACTGAACAAGAACATTCCTGCAATAGAAGTTCCATGATGTTTATTTAAATTGATTTATATTGAAACTTGCATTTTGAAAGTGTTATTAAAAAGTCATCCTTTGAGTCTTAGAATTCAGAGTAAAGCTCCAACGGACTAAAAAATGAATGAAAATTGTTTCTTTAGTTGTGTTCTGAAACATTACAAGCATCTTCATTGTATGGGTCATACTAGACATTAAAATATGAGTTTTTGAACTTTAATGTTGTCTCCTGAAAAATAGCATTTTATCTATGGAATAGTACAAATTGCAATGTTATGCCAATACAGTTAATAGTCATATGTTTGAAGAAACACTGTGCTACTGAATTCCATTTCTATTAGGACAACATTGTAAAATTACTAAGAGTATAGTTGTAGTCTGAAAAGTTAGTAGTCTTGTTATTCAGCAGGAATAAAGAATATTTGTTTTTAATTAAAGCAAAAAAAAAAATTGAAGGGACTGTTTTGTTTCAATATTATTTGTGAATTAAAAAAATATGTAGGGAATCAGCTTCGTTGTAATATCTTGTTTTATCGTAACTAATCAGTATTTTTCCCTCTGCTTTTACAAGAGGAGAGGAATCAAAATTATCTAAACCTGTGAGAAGGGTCCTTTGCAGAAGGTTCCCTCCTGCCCTCTAGTGCCTTGAAAAGCCCTCCACAACAGCTCAGTGGAGTTAGAGTAGAAAAGGTAGAACTAGTGAGCACGCACGACAGACAGACCAGAAGTAGAATTGCTTGTGCTAAGGGCCTAGAGACCAGTTGACTTTAAAAAGAAGCACGTGCAGCTGGACCTTGATACTAGCATTAGGAGCTAGTTTATAGTCTTACTGTAATTTAAAATTACTTCCAAATTAAATACATCAGTTAATACCATAATATGCTATTATATGGGGGGAAACGTAACCAAGTGTTCATGTCAGCTGTAACAAAACAATCCATTACTTTAAAAATGGAAAAGAATACATTAGAGACATTTTTATTCCTCTTATATTGTAAACGCTTTTTTCAATAGTTTTTTAAATTGTCTGATTTTGTGTTGACTCTATATTGATACTTTAAATTGTTAATATTTCCAGGGGGTGGGGGTGAAGTAATTTACCTCTCCTTGGTTAAACATAAAATTAAGTTACTTTTAGTTATATCTTTGTCTACTGTAAATACAAAATAAGACACAACATTTTTCATTACAGTGAACTCCTACTCCATGAGTTTAAAATATCACAACATTTTACTTTTGTTATCAGGTATTTGTTTTCTTTTAGAGTTGATATTATATGCTGGGATACTTGATCCTTCTCAGTCCAGTGAGCCCCAAGATGGATGAAACATACTGTATGTCACGCAAATACTGCTATTTCAGCCTAAGGAGTGTATTTTCAAAGCAGCACAAGGATGGTAATGTACACTCAGAATTGTTTTGTATTAGATGTTTACTAATTTTCCTAATAGTCGTTAACGTACATTTCTTAATGTAGATATATTTTATTAGTATTTGATTTTGTTGTTCCATTATTGCCCAGATTTGTGTTTATACTTACTTACTCGATTTAATTTATAGAATTTTTTTGAGGAAAACCACAATGCAAAAAAAAAAGTGTTTGAAATGTGATAATATCTAATGCTGATGTGAGAAAATACTGTAGGATTACTTCTGATCTTGCGTCCATTGGTATACACCAGGAATAGCTCCAATCTGAGTGGAATTATATCAAATGTCAAATGAGTGAAATCAGTGTAAAGCTAGTGTAAGTGAGTTTAGCATCACTTTGTGAATACAGTATGGGGTGTAATATAGGCTACTACTGAATAAGCATGAACATTAAAAAGGGAACAGTTATTCCTTAAAGATGTAAATCAATGATGATATAGCAATATAATTTAATATTTGAAAACTTTGTGCTTGTTCATGAAAATGGAAAGATTGTATTTTCACAAATTACTATCAAATAGGGAAATTATAGGCTGGTTAATCTTTTTCCTATTCATTCTCTCTGAAAATTAGGTGTTTTCAACAGCTAGGGAAGAACAAGGGCAAGACTGGTATGATGGATGAATCAGTAGAGGTATCAATTGATGGGAACTCCCTTATAAAAGCTGTCTATCAAAGCAGACTTCGCCTCACAAGACTGTTGTTAGAAGGTGGAGCATACGTTAATGAGAGTAACGACCGAGGTGAAACACCTTTAATGATTGCTTGTAAGACACAGCATGTGGACCAGCAGAGTGTTAGCAAAGCAAAAATGGTTAAATATTTGCTGGAAAATAAGGCAGATCCAAATATACAGGACAAATCTGGAAAGACAGCCTTGATGCATGCATGCTTGGAAAAGGCTGGCCATGAAGTGGTTTCTTTGTTGCTGAAAAATGGAGCTGACCTAAGTCTGCAAGACCATTCTGGTTACTCTGCACTTGTTTATGCAGTAAACTCTGAAGACCGAGAGACCCTGAAAGTTCTCCTAAATGCTTGTAAAGCAAAAGGAAAAGAAGTAATCATCATTACAACAGACAAGTCTCCATCTGGAAGGCAGACAACTAAACAGTATTTAAATGTGCCTCCTACTGACATTGAGGAATGCCATTCTCCAACTGCCTGCACTTCCCCATCAGAAATAGAACTTAAAACATCTCCACTTTCAAATTCATGTGAAACAGAAAAAACTCTTTTTAGCTTTAAAGAACCAGATCAGCCTGGAAGCATGAAAAATATATCTGAGCCAGTCTCTCCTACTAGAAAACCAAATTTAACACATGTAGGACCCAAGCTGGCACAAGTGCAGCGTCTGCATTCTGAGTCTTGGATAAAAAGCTCTCTGTTCCATCAGAATAAAATTTCCTCTTTACAAGAAGAACTTCAGGATATAACTCCAGAGGAAGAACTGTCTCTGAAAGTCAATGGACTAGCCTTATCTAAGAGATATATTACTAGACACCAAAGCATTGATGTAAAAGACCCTGCTCATTTGTTGAAAATCTTTGATGAAACTGGCTCAAAACGGTTGTCATATGAGGAGATAAATTCTCAGTCACCTTATTCTGAGAGAAACCATACCCAGAGTGAAATTCCTGTAGATCAGGATTCAGATTCAGTCCAAATGAGATTTGTTTCAACCCTGAGAAGTATTGTTCAAAAAAGAAGTTTAGGGGCAAATCACTACAGCTCTGATTCTCAACTAACTACTAGTCTGAGTCCTGCTACCACAGAAGATAGCAAATCACTTCTAGGAAAGAAAAAGATTCTCTCTCCTTCTCCCTCCTTGTTATCAAGTTCCAGAGAATTGCTAGAGAACATGCCTCCTGGTCCACTGAACAGGAGAAACCATGCTGTTTTAGAGAGAGGAGGGTCAGGAGCCATATCTTTAGATCATATTGCCCAAACTAGGCCAGGTTTCCTTCCACCTTTAAATATGAATCCTCATCCTCCAATTCCAGATATTAGTTTTAGCAACAAGATTTCTGGAATTGTTTCTTTGGGACAAAAAACCCTAATTCCAACAGCACCTGCATTTCCCAAAGAGTTCAAAAGTAACAAAATGTTGGTAAGGAGGCAGTCATTACAAACTGAACAGATTAAGCAACTCGTGAATTTTTAATAGGGTACTAAAGTGTTAACAGATTTATACAACATGTACATACTTGCAGCTTTATTCCTTTGGAATAAATATACCCCAAAGCAGAGAGCCCACACAAGGTCTTCTGCACAACAAAGGCCCTTAACATGGGACTCTTGGATGGACTCTGGGATGAGTTTCATCTTAGATTTAGCTAATAAGTGTGTTCATCTAAATTTACTCTGCTGCTATAATCTGCAAAATGACAAATTATATTTTCACCATATTTTTCATAATAGAAAACTAAAACACTATGGACATGATTCTCTGTGTCCCCATACTTCGTGAGTCATTGACACAAAACACTTATATTCTGATTTGGTAGCATTTTACACTCAGTTTGTACTCACTTTGCATAGATGTAAGTGACTACAGAAAGTGCAGGGCAATGGAGAATTAGACTAGATGATAGCTATTCTCCTCTACCTATATTGATGGAACTATTATCAGGAGCTGATTAGTAGGAGTTACAAGCCCCTAAGGAGCAGAGAACAGGCTTAATGTGGGAAAATTATACAAAATAGCTACAATTCTAAAGTAAAACAGACATCAAAACTGATAAAAATAATGTACAATTCATGTTTTTATTAAGCAACAGCTTCAATTTAATTCAATCAATAACAGAGTATTTCTGAATTATTGCTTTTAAATATTGCATATTAAATAATGGAGTAACTTATTAAAGAAATAGATAACTGTTTCATCATGAGCTGGACTAAAATGTCATACTTTAAGATTGCCAACATGTATGTTTCTTTCCCACTTAAAGTTCAGACTCTCCTTTTGTCTTTTTTTTTTTTTAAATACAAATTTTACGGATACTCTAGGATTTGGCTCTTATATGGCACTTTTATCATCTCACTTCTAAAAGTCTGTACATTTTAAAATTTTATTTTCACGTACTTTATACAAATCGTTTATTCTTATTAACATGGTGGTTGTGAATTATACTGAAACTAGATATTTGCTTCTAGAAATATCCAGTAGATATCTGTGGTGTTGCAACTTTAGTCCTAATCCAAATAGTATTACAAAATGTTCTCTAACAAAAAAAAGTTAGCTTTGTGCCATCAGTATAAGTATATTTATTATCTATTTGAAATTTACAATCCCTATCATCCCCTTTGTTGCAAAAACACTTCCTCCCTTGGAGAAGGCAATACTAGCCCCATGGAAAGGATAAGAGCATAGTTTGCATTCATGCAGAACCTAACAATCTGTAGCAAATGCTAGCCTCAACCCCCCTAGATTTTAGAGCCTGGCATTAGCTCTTCTACACCCTGAGCTGGGCCCCCTAATCCATGGTAGCATGATTGGCTGGTTGGCCAGGTGATATCTCATGGGTTGCTAGCCCCTGGCTATGTCCCAGGCCTCCTAAGAAGAGCTAAGATGAGAACTGAAGCCATTAATATAAATTTAGTGCATTAACTTCAAAAGGATTTTCCACATTAAACTGTGGTTTTAAAGGTGACTGTGTCACCTAAAGTGACTTCTCTTTGACTACTCCACTTAAAATTCCATGGAACCTCAAATGTATAGGGACTGCTGGTGGTTGAGGGGAGTACACACTGTAAAGATCTGCTCCCTCCTTTCTACCATATCTAACTCCATTCAAGCATGATTACCACATTTTTCCTTAACTCTGCACCATGCCGGGGACATAGACTTCCGCTCTGAAAAATGTTTGTGCTTACTTGTTTTTTGTGAACAGCTTTTTTTCAAAGCCAATTTTTTGATCCAGACCATTCTTCCAATGAAAAGCTCTTGTCACTTGCAGTTTGATAGGAAAACTATCTTCTATATACACAGAAATCAACTATAAAAGGATGTTAAGATTGCCAAGTCAAGCACTCAAAAGTTAAGAAATTCCAGAATTAAGGTTGTCTATGGGTTTCATAGCACTGGCTGACAGCAGAGGAATTTGCAGACTCAGGAATCATAGGACTGGAAGGAATATTGGGAGGTCTTCCAGTCCAGTTCCCTGCATTCAAGGCAGGACTAAGTATTTCTCTAACCTGCTATAAAAAATCTCTAATGATGGAAATTTCACAACCTCCCTGGATAATTTATTCCAGTGCTTAGCTTCCCTGACAGGAAGTTTTTCCTAATGTCCAGCATAAACCACCCTTGCTGCAATTTAAGCCCATTAGGAACATAAGAACAGCCATACTGGGTCACACCAAAGGTCCATCTAGCCCAGTATCCTGTCTTCTGACAATGGCCAATGCCAGATGCCCCAGAGGGAATGAACAGAACAGGTAATCATCAAGTGATCCATGCCCTGTCGCCCATTCCCAGCTTCTGGCAAACAGAGGGTAGGGACACCATCCCTGCCCTTCCTGGCTAATGGCCATTGATGGACCTATCCTCCATGAATTTATCTAGTTCTTTTTTGAATCCTGTTATGGTCTTGGCCTTCACCACATCCTCTGGCAAAGAGTTCCACAGGTTGACAGTGCGTTGTGTGGAAAAAATACTTCCTTTTGTTTTTAAACTTGCTGTCTTAATTTCATTTGGTGACCCCTAGTTCTTGTTATGTGAAAGAGTAAATAACGGTTCCTTATTTACCTTCTCCATACCAGTCATGGTTTTATAGACCTCAATCATATCCCCCCTTAGGTGTCTCTTTTCCAAGCTGAAAAGTCCAGTCGTATTAATTTCTTTTCATATGGAAGCTGTTCCATACCCCTAATGATTTGTTGCCCTTTTCTAAACCTTTTACAATATAAATTTTTTTGAGATAAGGCAACCACATCTGCATGCAGTATTCAAGATGTGGGTGTGCCATGGATTTATATAGAGGCAATCTATTTTCTGTCTTTTCTATCCATTTCTTAATGATTCCCAATGTTCTGTTCACTTTTTTGACTGCCGCTGCACATTGAGTGGAGTGCACATTGAATCATAGAATCATAGAATATCAGGGTTGGAAGGGACCCCAGAAGGTCATCTAGTCCAACCCCCTGCTCAAAGCAGGACCAATTCCCAGTTAAATCATCCCAGCCAGGGCTTTGTCAAGCCTGACCTTAAAAACCTCTAAGGAAGGAGATTCTACCACCTCCCTAGGTAACGCATTCCAGTGTTTCACCACCCTCTTAGTGAAAAAGTTTTTCCTAATATCCAATCTAAACCTCCCCCACTGCAGCTTGAGACCATTACTCCTCGTTCTGTCATCTGCTACCATTGAGAACAGTCTAGAGCCATCCTCTTTGGAACCCCCTTTCAGGTAGTTGAAAGCAGCTATCAAATCCCCCCTCATTCTTCTCTTCTGCAGGCTAAACAATCCCAGCTCCCTCAGCCTCTCCTCATAACTCATGTGTTCCAGTCCCCTAATCATTTTTGTTGCCCTTCGCTGGACTCTCTCCAATTTATCCACATCCTTCTTGAAGTGTGGGGCCCAAAACTGGACACAGTACTCCAGATGAGGCCTCACCAATTGCTTCTTGTCCTATCCTCGGAGGTTAACAAGAACAATTTTTCTTCCTGCTCCTTGTAACAACCTTTTGTGTACTTTTGTGTACTTGCAAACTGTTATGTCCCCCGTCTTCTCCTTTCCTGACTGAAAAAATTGGATTTGTTTAATCTTCCCTCATAGGTAATGTTTTCTAGACATTTAATCATTGTTCTCCTCTGGACTTTCTTTAATTTGTCCACATCTTTCCTGAAATGTGGTTTCAGACATGTTTATGGTGAATTCTGAACACTCTTATTGAAGGGGCATGGATATTGAATATTTAACAACAGTTTCCTTTATCCAAAATGTTAACTACCAATTGACGTTAACCAGGTGTTTAGTTTAATTAAAAAAAAACCTCAAACACTAACTCCTCCCCTCCCCACCCCCCTTTAGTGGCTCAACTTTTACTTTTTTGGTGCTTGTAATTTTAAAAATGCACCTGGTCCCCAGTTACCACAGAATCTTTTATCTTAGATAAAACTTAAATTTCTGTTATAAAAACAAACAGCAAAAACTCTACCTTTAAAATAAAACACAAAACCGCTTTCAGGTTGTCTTTATATGTAGCAAAGACACACACTCTTTTTTCCCCCCCCCTTTGCAGGTTACTTTTGAAAAGTGAGTTTGACATGGCTAAGTCCTGAAGGGGTACAGGGTAAAATAACTTAAAGAAGTTAGCTTACAGTTTTAAAATTTCATTACTGCTTTTCCTAGAAATCCTTGTCTTTGATAAGAATAATGGTGTATTGTATGGATTATGTAATAATAATTAAAAATGGAACCGTAAAATCCTTTAAGCTTTCTACAGTTTCATTTTTAAGAGCAGGAGAGTGAATTTGTGTGGGGGGGTGGAGGGTGAGAAAACCTGGATTTGTGCTGGAAATGGCCCACCTGCTGATCACTTTAGATAAGCTATTACCAGCAGGACAGTGGGGTGGGAGGAGGTATTGTTTCATATTCTCTGTGTGTATATAAAGTCTGCTGCAGTTTCCACGGTAAACATCTGATGAAGTGAGCTGTAGCTCACGAAAGCTCATGCTCAAATAAATTGGTTAGTCTCTAAGGTGCCACAAGTACTCCTTTTCTTTTTAAGAGAAAAAGTGAGCTTTTCATAACACCCAAATAACAAATTTTCTTTAAAGGATTCTCACTTTTAAGTGTTGTACTGCTACAGATACAGCAGAATTCCCCTTTTTGCCCTGGTGAGGCAGTGGTAATTCATGATGAGTCAGGATCTCCTCACGTGTAAATAAGTGCCACTGTTGAAGAAGCTTCCAGTCTCTTGTTAGAAATTAAGCATGGAGCTCTCCACAGAAACTGTGACCTTTTATCACCATCCTTCTACTTCAACTGTTTTGGGAATTCTATCATGGTCTCCCCACTTTCCAATCAACCCAGTTAGTTATAGGCCTGATGTTTTGGGACTCTAAGAATATGTCTACAATGCAGCTGGGAGCATGCTTCCTAGCAATGTTAGACAGATACACAAGCTACCACACTAAAAGTAGCAATATGGCTGTGGTGTCATGGATGGTAGCTCTGAGTAGCTGCCTGAGTATGTACCGAGGGGATCAGGCAGACTTGTACTCAGGGAACGAGTCTAAGCCACAGCCCATGCTGCCACTGCCATGCAGCTATTTTTAGCATGATAGCTCAAGCAGAGCCAGCACCTGTCAGTCAACCTATGCTGGGAAACATGCTCCCAGCTGCAGTGTAGACATAACCAAGGAGGCCATGGCTTTATTTTGCCATTCTTTCCAATCAAGCTAGCTTTGATACATTCCTTGGAGCACTTAAGTTTTTTGCTTTGGACTTGATGTTTTGTAATCCCATTTTGGTGCGTTTGGGTCATAGCTTTGACATTTTTTTCTCCCTGGTGTTTTGGCATATCAGTAAATGTTGCGGTTCAAATACAAGACAGCACAAAGCTTTAAGCAAGCAAGCAGGCTGGTCTGCCAACGGACTGCTCCTGTCAGCTTTCCACCCTCTCCTTTATTCTTTCTCTCCCCCCGCGCATTACATTCTCCAACAGATAAAAGGAATACACTGGCTTTGTTTAACATTCTTATTTACCAATTTCTATCTACCGCATTCCTTGCTCTCGGGCCTTGAGCCCAGTCCTGGGAGGCTTCCCACGGTTCATGTCATCTGGGCGAGATTCCAAGGTTCATGCCCTTGAGAGGAGCCGTGTGTGCACTGCTCCTACACAACACTCCGGGTGTGCCCTGAATGTTGCCAAGTGCATGAACCTTGTATGAATGCTACAAGTAAACTTCCAGTGTTCACTGCTCCTGTGGCCTCCTATTTCAGCTATGTTTGGTGCATTTATTTTCAGTTCTCTCCATGTCTCCCACCTTGATCTTT